GCGCAAACAGTTTATAACTTTTGCATGCCAGGAAGGGGTACAAGGGCAGCTGCAGTTGGGACTTGTTATATATAGTTCATATACAAATACATATATACATATGTGTGTGTTTGTGTGCGTGTGTGAGCATGCCATTACTCTAAGCTAAAGTTGAGCGGCCGCCTGCAGTGTTGCGATTTAATTAAAACGCCATTAAGTCAGCAATTAACAACAACAGCAACAGCGACAGCAACAACAATAATAACAGCACTAGCAGCAACAGCAGCTGCAACAACAATGGCAACGGTTGGTGGCAACTTCAACGGGCTTTGAGCATTTGCCAAAGCAACTAAGCGCTTTGTATATGACTTTTTTCCAGTGGGTTTTTCCCCTTTCTTCTTCTTCTTCTTCTTTTGACTGTATTTTGCTCGTTTTCTTCTAGCGTTTCCTGTTCTCTTTCTTTTTGCGCTTTTGTGCCTTGGCTTTGTTGTCGCTTGCCGTCGCATTAAGTTCTATTTTTTTACTGTTATTTTGTTAGCAGCAGCAACTAATTCCAATTGCTGGGGCAGCAGCAGCAGCAGCCACAGCGGGTAACAAAATGTGGCACCAACAAAACACATTAAAAACATAAAAAACACACGCTGCGACTGAGATCGAGGAATGGAAGTGGCTATGGCATTGGCAATGGAAGGGGAATGCTTGTTGCCCGACGGTTTTCTAATATTTGATTTTGTTTATTATACCCTTAGCTAATGGGCACTGAGGGTATGCTCGATACCAGCTTTGAAAACTTAACTCCCACTTATATACTTGATAAGCACATTTGTGATGACTATCGATAAACGATAACTTATCTATACCAGCTACCCAAGCAGCTCTGAATGCTTCCTCTCCTTAAGCGTATTGCATGCTATCTACAATCAGTCATATATCATAAATCACATAAACTTTTGACGACTATCGATAAACGATTAATCATATATATTTGCTTTTAAAGTCGCAGCAACATTTTGTATCATACTTTAAAGCTTTGAATCAAAATGTTTGCAATTCTAGACTATTTAAATCACATATCGAACTATAGACTATCGATAAACGTTGTAGGCCTTTACAGCTAAAGTCACATTTCTTTAATTACAGGGTATTGCAAGCTCACTTAACATATAAGATTTATTTTTTTTTTGTTTCAAAGCAGGCTGCAAGTTTTATTATGGGTACGTGTCTGGCTGGCAGTTTGTGTGTGAGGGATGTTTTAGGGTTAAAGACTGGCCTGTCAGGGTTCCCAAACGCCACACGCCAGACGCCAGACGAAGGGCGAATGTGTGTGTGTGTGTGTGTGTGAGAGAGAGTGACTGTCGAATGAACTGAAACTGTCAAAAGTGCACATTCCGCACTTGACATTTTTGCAAAGCGCATTTTGAACTCTGCCCCCGCTGGGTAAGAGGCCAAGTGTGAGGATTTCTCTCTTGGGGTGCGCTTCAATTGGCATTGAAAGCGTAAATGAAAGGGAAGCCTTTGCATGTTTCAGCTACAGCTAAGGCAATGGCAAAGTCAGCGCCGGAATGCCAGTCAGAGCTCAGACGTAGACCATAGAAAGAGTGAGATGGGGCACTGGGTGCACAGTGCACAGGGGGTGAAACTGTGGCACGCGCTTGCCGCCCCCTTGTCAAACAGTTAAAATAATGGAAAAAAAAGCAAAGAACGTGGCATAAACCCAGAAATTTGCTCGTACGTTTATTGCTTTTAAATTTGGCAATTGTCGAGTCGAGTTTAACATGCGTTCGCCTGTGTGTGTGTGTGTATGTGTGTGTCAATGAGGGTACTTGCCTGCTGCCAATTGCTTATCAGGCCGCATTTGCAGCAGTCATTCCGTTAGCCGCCCTTAATTTGCCCAATTTAAAAATGGAAATCGATTCCCCCGAGTGAAAAGGCAGACAGAGTGTGCCACGCCCCCTCCCAACCGTTGCATGTGTCAATAAAATGTGATTAACAAGTTTTGCATAAAAATGCCGACAGTCAATTGCAATTGCGTTGCCTTACACTTCGCCCTGCCTCCCCCACCCCCTCTGCTGTTCTGGCCGCAGGCATTTTTCTTTTGTTCGAAGTCCCAAAGGAAACTCCTGCCACAGCATTTTTCTTTTTTGTTGCTGTTGTCGCTGGCAAGCGTGGCAAATTATCCCTTTCATAAGTGACAAATATGTCTGTCGAACTGCAATTGGGATCAGACAGGGAGACAGACAGACAGGCAGTCAGACAGGGGCGAGGCAAGTTTCTGCCCTTATCAGGCGCGTGTGTTGGACGGCGGCGGTGGCGGCTGCTGCAAGTAATGAGATTTTATTTCAAACCAAGTATCTTGGGCTTTTGTAATTTGCAATAAATATGCAGCCAACCAGGCCAAGAGTCAGCAGCATAGATAAGAGCTGTGAGGCGTGTGGCAGCCATAAAGCCCTAGGCAATGCTCAACTTAGCTGCAGCTGCCATATCTCTGATGTACATAAATATATATGTATATATATATATAAAACTTTAGACTTAAGCTGTTCCATTCAACTCAATTGGCTAAGCAAATAGATAGACAGACAGACGGACAGACAGCGAGGCAGACAGGCATTTGATATATTAGTTATCAGCATTTTAATGAACCCACAAACTTTCGGGCATAATTAAACAAATTCCACACATAACGATGCTCTAACCTCAGGCAAATATTTGTTGTTATATCCAGTAGCTAGCCGAAATGCATATTTCCTGTATGTTTGTGCTTGAGTTTGTTTGTTTGTTTGCTTTGCCACTTTAAGCAAGAGCTGCAATCAATATACAATTGTTTAAGTGCTATTAGAATGGATTTCACATGCAAGACGCAGAGCAACGTGTGTGAATGACCTTTGAGAAATGATATTAAATTATTTATTGGTGATTAGCAAGTCTATTGCCCAAAGAACTTTGCCGTAAATTTAAGTAAATTTCGCATTTAGCTGAAATATTTTTCTTTGTAGAACCTAAGGCCTTGGCCAGACAATCACAGTAGGTTCTAAAATAGTAAATAAACAGTTTGCTTTTCTTTTTGATTGATCAGCACAATCGTACGTGCGCAAATTAATTATAGAGAGATAACGACGATAACAATATGAACAGTTCAACAGAAATAGTTTTATCATTTTACATTCCTGTTAAATGAGATAAACGCATTAAATTAAAATAAATGCTTTCTTAACATAAGCTGTTATTGCACAGTGCATAAATTACTCATCTACTCACCTAATATGTTCAAGATTCCTATGTTAAGTTATTCCACAACACAGCAAAATACGCAGCTTACCCAATTTGAATACTATAAGTTCTGATAAGAATGCAAATAAGAGAGAGCCAGCATTGTAAATTCCGTTAGGCGCGCAAACAAGAGAGAGCGCAAGAATTTGCTCTCAGCAGCAAAGCAGCTCATAGAAATGGCATAAAATCAAATAATTTAAATGGCTTGTTACACGTATATGGGCACTCAAATTACTAAAAATACAACAATTTGCCCACAACGCATTATTGCCTTGTTGAAAACGCGTAATTGACATAAAATAAATTTTTACGCCTACACAATTTACGACACTTATTAATTTTCATTCACAATTTATCACTGCACCACACACACATACATATACATATGTATTTTCACTTTAAAACAAGCAATTCAACTCAACAAAAACAAAATAAATGCGCTGATGTCAGACAAAAAATGCAGCCACTTATTAACGCGTGCATACAACGACTAAGCGTAGATCAATTACGCAACAATTGAAAAATCAGCAAAACGCTACCTGCTACAGCGAAGGTTACTCAAAAAGGATAAAGAAAATAGCGGTCAGTAGCGGCTTGCATGTTCAAATGCAACAACAAAACATAAGGATGAGAAAAGAAACTGGGAGGGAGTAGGAGGGCAACGCACCATGGTGCCTAAAGTAACAGTGACAAAAGCTACAATGTCAATTTAAAAGATAAAAACAAAGAGAGGTATCGGCAAAAAGAAAATACAAACAAAAACGGCAGCTAAATGATAAAAGCAAAAGACTCAATGGGGAGAGCTGAGATTTGAAACAAGAACAAAAGCAAAGCATAGCGGATCATCGAAAAGGCGCATGCAAGCAGTGAAACGAAAAATTTTCTGCCAGTAATAAAATGCAAGCCTCACAACAACAACACATTTGAATGGCATTGAGAGCAAAAGCAGAACAAGTCTGAAATATTCAATACATAAGCAAAAACAAAAGCTGCAGGCTTGACTGCCTTGAGCGCAATGAAAAATGGTGAGTAGAGCGCAAAGAGCTGAGAGAGGCTTAACAATGGCCATTGCTTAACGGATCACAGCAATGGCACATAGAAACGGGAATAATTCTATTTATGTACACTGAGAAAGAAACATACACACACTAAAAAAAATAATGGAAAAATGTACAGAATTGATAACATTTGCATATAAAACTTATGTAAGATAACGTCTGGCTGTCTTCAGCAGATACACCTAAAAATATTTGAATAAAAAGTACCAAAGAAAATCACAGTATGATGATACTGTTATCAATTGCTTATCATAATTTAATGGCCAAATCAGCTTCCACGAATTTGATAGCCCCTCAAAGTTAATGTGATTTTCTATTTCATTTTGATCTACGATTAAGAGGGCCCAATCGCCCCTGACCACCAACAACGGACACATGTCTTAACTAAGGCCCAGTCGAGTGGCATGACTCAATGAAATTGTAATAAGAGAAAACAATGTGCCGTTCGCTTATCACACACGAACTGATTAAACGTAGCGCAGGGGCTGCCGCCTGCTGCACTGCACCTGCTCACCTGTCCACAGCTACGCTTATGCCCGACCAGGCTTATCGCAGACAACAATAAAAAGTGTAAAGCAAAAAAGACGAAACACTTCTCAGTTACGGCACAAAATATTAATTAAAAAGCCCCCGCTCGCGTGTAAACAATATTACTCATACGTCTAGTGTTTAGTATAAAAGCAGCTGGCCGGGCAGAACTGAACCAGAGTCAAATCGAACGTCTTCGAAGTAGAAACTAAAGCGAAAACTGAACAAAATGAAATTCCTATACAGCTGCGTTCTACTGCTGGCCGTCTTCGCCGCCAGCCAGGCCTACAGCTCCAGCTGGGGCAAGAGGAACAGCACCGACATCCTGCTCTCCCGCCAGACCGAGGTGCGTGCCCCGCTCAAGAACAGCTACTGGAACATCAACATTGACTATCCCCGTCCCGTAAGTAGCCAAAGTGAAAAGTGTCAGCTGAACTCGGGTCTAACACCGAAATGTATTCATGCAGGGCACTAACAGCGTCTACACGATCACCCTCGTCAATGTGATCGACAACTTCCGCAACAGCTCTGGTGCCACGCCCAGCCTGTGGTCCGGCGGTCCCGGCTATCGTTATGCCCAAATCAATCTGCGCAGCCAGGTCAGCCGTGGTCTCAACTCCACCATTGAGATCTGGGGCAAATATTAAAAAACGCCTCGATTCAAATGAAACTCCGATGTACTCGCAACCAAAACTTTAGCTAGAAATCTATATATAAAAAATAAAAAAAAATTAACTAAGAACTCAAAATAAAACAAAAATTGCATTTATCAAGACCCCAAAGTCTCTCTCGCTCTCACTCTTGCTCTGTTAAATATTTGGATATACAAAAAGTCTATTTGTTCAGCTTTATCCATGTGCATTGCATCAAGAGTACACACACACTTCTAGATAATATATATAGGAATACATATTATTAATTTCACAAATTGTGAAATTGGAAAAAGTTAAGCATCTGCGCAGCTAAGATCAGAAGATCCAGTTCAGTAATAAACTTTTCCTTGTAAATACTTCAAATCAAACAAGTTTTGCTCAGCCATTAAAGAAGTGCACTACAGTAGGAAGTACTTGACTAGAAGATACCCTGCCGCCTGCTCAAAGCTGCAACTCAATCAAGCTATCAGCTCGCCATCCTGATCAGAAATATATATACTTTATGGACACGCCTTCATATGCATATTACATACATTGACACAAAACTTTGTGACTCAATCAATTTATAAATAGAGACTTCGTAAGTTATATATAGAAATATAGGTATATAAATATATGTAAGATATTTTAATACAAAAAAAAATTTATATATAGATAAAGTTATATATATATATATATTTTTTTTTTTTTTTTTTTTTTTGTATTAAAATATCTTATATTTTTATATATAATCTTAGTTGGTTTTAGCTGCGTTGACTAATTTCTCTAAGTTATAAATATATTTATATATATAAATATATAAGCATAAGTTTATCACTTCCTTATTTTTATCTCCTCCCAATTTCCTTCATATTGATAAAAATAAATTTTGTATAAGTGATTTCTGCAGCATAACTCGAGAACTATAAGAGCTATAGAGGCCAAATGTTGTTAATAGTTGCTAGGAGAGAGATAGAAAAAGAGAACTAGAGAGAGAAAGAGATAGAGAGTTGGAAAAAGTTAGAGCTGCAAAGGGATATAGAAAAATAAAAAGATAGAACGAGAAAAAGAGAGGCATTTATGTATAGAGAGAGAGAGAGAGAGAGAGATACGGAGAGGCAGAGAGTCAGAGAGAAAGAGAGAGAGAGATAGTCAGAGAGTATATAGAGAAAAAGAGAGAGACAGAGAGAGATAGAAACAGAAACAGAAAGAAAAAGAGCTAGAGAAGTCGGCAGAAAGAGAAGAGAGACAAGGAGCAGAAGAGAGCGACGTCTTTTGCTTAGCTTACCCCACCTTAGCCAAAGCTTAAATGCATGTGCAGAGTATCTGCCAGTCAGTCACACTTTTCAAATCTTTCACTTGATGAACTATAACTGATAAGTAGAGCAAGAGTATAGCGACTACTATATGGAGCTGCTGATGGCTTACGATGAGCGCATTTGATGTCCTTTATGGCCAGCCAGAGCCAGGAATTGTCGTCGTATTATTATCTGGCCATAAAGCCTCTCGCCCAAATGACTCACTAATGCGGCATGATGGTTGCCAACAACAACAGCAGCAACATTGATCGACATCGGCAACAAACATTTGCATTTAACAAATATGCATGGAAGCCCCTCAGTCGAGCTGGCTTTAAGGGTGCGCGCCTTGCCGCAAGCGTAAAGGACACAAAAATAGCAGAAAAAAAAGCGAGGCTGAGGCTGAGGCAGGATATGCGCCGTGCGCCTGCAGGCAGCTGGCAAAGGAAAACATTCAATATTTAATAAATATGTTGGCGTATAGAACATTTCGTTATTTCTGCTTTTCCTTTCCTTTTTGCTCTGCTTTCGCTGCTTTCTCTTTTTCAGTTAGCTATTTTTGCACAAATCCTGCAGCAGACGGCGTGGTGGGGCGAGGTGCTGCTGGGGGGGAGCGGACTTATTGGCCTTGGTTCATTTGAAATTTGTAAGCCAGCCCTTGCCAAACCCCCGCCCCCGCCCCCGCCCCCGCTTGAGTGATAAATAAAAATGCTGCTTAGGAAAACGTTAAGCGATACGGTCAAAGGGATGCGGCCCGAAGTCCTGCTTTGACTATGGGCGCTGCCAAAGCATTTTGTATCGAATTTAAATTTCAATTTCGAACGTCTTGAGGCGACGAGCATAAAAAAGCCCGATCCTAAATCGAAGACAACTCTATCGCGCGCACCCTCGCCCGCTGCCAACCCCCCCTCGCCCACTCTCCGGCTGTATCTGTCTTGCATTTAGCTAAATATTTGCACAGGACGCACAAATGTTTGAAAAGTTGTCAACGAAATGTTTCACTTAGTTAATATGCAAAACGCGCCGCTCGCAATGCAAAGCCGTTGCCGGATATGTTTACGGATGCTGCCACGGATACACACACACACACACACACGCCATCTGTTGGCGGCTTGTGGAAATATAAAAACAGTTTGGGGCAAAAAATCGGTAAAGAAAAAATCGTCGAGCTGTAACAACTGCAAAAAATTGCATTCAGAGTCACGTAGATATTCGGCGAGGGCAGTAAGTAAAAAGGTTGACAAATTTGAAAGATGATGGATGATGGATAAATCATAAGAGTAAAGGGAAATTGTAAGATAATAAGATTAAGATAAGACTAGGGCTTAACATTATGTTGACAGCATATTCAGAGTATAATCAAACATATAATTGATCATATTAGAGAATATTTACTATAGTTGCCATAAAGTCAAGTGAGTCTTACTTCATCACATGAGAATTGCATAGAAAGGCGAGCTCATAAATACATTTGGCTTTTTATTAAAGCTTACTTGATCTATTCTGGAAGTACTCCTCTTCTGTTCACATTTAACTTTGCTCATTTCCAGCTTCTACTGAAATGGCATACCAATTCATTATACTTTTGACAAACTCAACAAGCAGCCCTCGCTGCCAAATACATATTAATTTCAAACTAGAGCACATAGAATGTTATAATTAGCATAGTTCATTAATTGTCAGCAGAAATAATAATTCAAGCAAACTCAACAAACAGCCCTCGCTGCTTAAGCTACCCAATTCACACTAGCTGCTCACACGAGCACAAACTCTAAATCACTTAGATCGTTAAAATCATTCTCAGCTCAAATAAAAACTTATTTTAATTATGAACAACTCTAGTAACAGCCCTCGCTGCAAGCTCTGTGCATGCCAAATTCAAACTATAGCACGACTCAAGTTCTACTTTGAATAGTTCAACAATGCTTAACTGAAATATCAATTCAAATCATTTACGATTAACTCCTCGAGCTGCCCTCGCTGCTTAAGCTGCCAGCTTTGGGCTGCCAAATTCGCTTTGGCAGCGCAATTTACTTGACAAATTTCTCATACGCCGCGTGGGCCGCAGTCAGTTTGCTCGAATGCCTAACCTAAGCCGCTTGCTGGCTAAGCTCTGACCACCAGCACGACCACCCCTCGCATCCCCAACAACAGCTCGCCCTCCCCCTATATTGGGGTCTGGCTACAGCTGTGCAACAGACTTGTGCGACATCGTTGCGTTCATGTCCAGGGCAACAGCTTGCAAAGCAATTACTTCAAACTACCCGGAAATGTCGCCTGGCTGACCAGATGCCGGTGTCGCCTCCACTGCTCTGGCATATGTGGCAAGCTCTACATCTGTGTGTGTGTGTGGGTGTTGCTGCAACAGTTATTGGAGCATGGCAGCAACACGGACCGCAGTGCGGCCCCGAGGCTCAGCAGATGTCACACACACACAGAGACAGGGACACCATGCCACACAGCTGCCAGCATGCAAGCATGCCACCTTGCCACATGCGGGCCTGGTTAAATTCTGCTGATTTTGTTGCCAGCCACATTGATTTTTAATAAATAGCAATTTGGCATCAGCCAAAACGGACTTGTTATTATTTTCGCAGCACGTTCTCACAATCTGCTTTCAGGTGTTTACGTGCCACCTGCCCCGTGGCTGCCACCTTGGCAATCGCTTCAAATATGCAACAAGCCAAACAGTTTGCCCCGTTCAATCTGCAAAACTGGATAAATTAATGCCACGGCAATGCCTGGCATGGCTCGAAAATGCTCTCTAATGCGCAGCAAATTCCCTAGACCCCAACAATCTTTCTCTGCTCCAGCTCCACTCTACTCCACTGCATGCTGCCCCAAAAACTGTAATCGTCAAAAGTTGCCAGCTGCACAGTGGAGCGAGTGCCGAGTGCTGCGGAACGTGAATTTGAAATATATAAGCTGTTATCGATTATTGTTATCGATAAATGTATATAAATCGGGAAATTCAAACAAATGTTTTCAAGTTATACTAATTATTTTTAGGGCTTTCCTATAGTCTATATTCAAGCATTTTCATGTTATCGATTGTTATTATCGATAATGGATATATATATATTTATTTAACATGGAATATAATCCATATTAAAAGCATAATTTTTATTGTTTAAAACACTCAACTAATATACATACAATTGCATGTTGCTGTTATTATAATAAACTAATTTGTTGTTATCGATAGTTTCTAGATATCGATTTATACATGTATATCCTTACAATACATTAAATATGAATTTATTGAAGCTTAATCAAAAGATATGTTATATATTATGCAACTTACTGTTATCGATTGCTGTTATCGATATATGTTTAAGTGTATTGGAACTGAACTATTATTATATAGATTCTTATAACTTACATTTATGACATACATTTATGAGTTTTTTGCCCCACTGTGCTGCGCTGGCCCCTTTGCCAGTCGGTGCAAACGTAATGAAGTATTTATGATTGGCTGATTGGCTGATTGCAAGCGGGGGCGTTGGCCAATCCGTTTCAGCCACACTTTTGGCCAACGTGGCAAACTGGCAACAGGCAGCAGGCAACGGGCAACAGTTTTGAAAAGCGCTGCTGGGGATTTGTGGCATAACAAATTCGTGCCGAAAATTGTAAAATAACATGGCACCTGCACACACACACACCAACACACACGCTACGCAATCAATATTGATGAGTGGCAACAAAAACTTTGCCACAGAATCGTTTTGTGAACTCTGAACTCTGTCATTAGAATCGTCGTTATTTATCGCCACAGTTGGCATGCTGCAGCC